TTTTGGTTTTTCAAGACAGGGTTTCTCTGTGTAGCTTTGTGCCTTTCCTGGAACTCACTCTGTAGCCCAGGCTGGCCTCAAACTCACAGAGATCCACCTTCCTCTGCCTCCCAAGTGCTGGAATTAAAGGTGTGTGCCACCACCGCCCGACCCCCACATCATATAAGCTTTCCATCTAGCTGTGGGCTTTCTGATTCAAGGACATATGATTTCTCTTCCTGTTAGAATCAATCCAAATGGGCCTGTCAATCACCAGGACAAAGTTATATTCCCTAAGAGTTGCTTGTTCTAGAGACCTTAGAAGTAATATAAAACCTACCTCAGATGTAGATTGCACAGTGGTCCCTTGGCCATTGTTCACTGTCTTAGGGTTTTTATTGCTGTGAAGAGACACCATGACCACAGCAACTCTTATAAGGAAAAATTTAATTGTGGTGGCTTGCTTACAGTTTCAGAGGTTCATCATGGCAGGAGCATGGTGGCACACAGGCAGATATGGTGCTAGCTACATCTTGGCTTGAGGGAACAAGAAGTCAACTGACTGTCAATGAAAGAAGCTTGAGCAAAAGAGACCTCAAAGCGCACCTTCTCAGTGACATACTTCCTCTGACAAAGCCATACCACTTAATAGTGCCACTCCCTTTAGGAGTCATTTTTTTTTTCAGACCACCACATCTACTCTTACTCCTCAAGAATGTGTTCAAGTTACTCTGATCCAACTTCTACATATATTCTACATGACACTGAATCCTGTCTGGATTATGAAGAGCACAAAGATCAGGGAATTGGGACGAGTCCAGTGAAAGATCCCAGTGACAGCATCAGACAAGGAAGGAAGCTTCTGCTTGCATCCTCTTTACTGACATCCCTTTTGTTCAAATCAAGTCACAAAGCTCATACCAGTCAGATGGAAACATGCCACCAAAGAGCATGGATACAGATGTAGGTAGACCACCTGACACTCAGCTCATTAAAGAAGATACTGTTTCAATATGAAAATGAAAGTCACTTGCAGTCTTATGAACAGTAGATAAATTGATGTTGATATTTGAAAAATCCTTGCAAACTTAATTTCAAGTAAATATTTATTTTTAAAAAACATTTATGAATTGATAGCCAAATAAAGATCTCCATTGCCTTTTCTTTTGCTTCCTAGTTGTTAATGTGAATATTTGCATACTATAAAATTATCCTGCAACATGATTTTACTTATTGCTTGGTATTTTATTCTACTTATATTCACACAATGAATTAACCTCTTAGTGGAAATTCAAATTATTTCTATGTTTTCACAATTATAAACCACTTTGCACAAAAATCTGCCATTCAATCCTTGCATTCATCTATACAGTTTTCCTAGTCTTTCTTGGAAGAGCAATTGATGGGCCAGTACCAATGTACAATTTTAGTGTTATTTGTGTCCACCAGTGTTTTATTAGCTAAATCAGATGTGCATGGGTTCATCTGTTTCTGAACAAAGTGATTACTTATGAGGTGGGTGGAGGTTTTGTTGTTGTTGCTAATTCCCTAAAGAGTGGTCAAAATGAACCAAAATGAGTATCAGCATAGCTCAGAGAAAAATACATGATATAAGATTAGTATGTTAGATGGTCAACAGGGATGAAATGAAATATTAGCAGAAATGATATGTCTCTTGTTTTAGTTCTGACATGCATTTTCAGTAAGTCATTGTGAAAAAATATTAGTGGAGATTCATTGCTCTGTGAAACATTTTGATGAAATGATTGAATTTTGTAATCTTTCCATTTGAGTGTATGTGGTGATATTTTGTGTACCCTAGTAAACTTGCCTGAGGATCAGAGGACAGAGCTAGCCACTAGATTAGACACAGAGGTCAGGCAGTGGTGGCACACACCTTTGATCCCAGCACTTGAGATCTCATGCCTTTGCTTGTGAAGCACACATGCCTTTAATCCCAGGAAGTAATATGGCAGGGCAGAGAAAGGTTTATAAGGCATGAGGAAACAGGAACTCACTCTCTTTAGGATGAGAACTTCGCAGAGGTAAGAACTAGTGGCTGGCTGTTCTGCTTCTCTGATCTTTCAGCTTTCACCCTGATAACTGGCGCTGGTTTTTTTTTTTATTATTATTATTATAAGACCATCTAAGATTCGAACAACAGGTACAGATAGGGAAGGAGCACTGTAGAGAGTCACATCACTCTACTGATGCCTTTGACTCAGGAGATTATGCAGCTTGTCTCCTGCATGAGCCTGATCAATGAGTGTTTTATAGTAAATTCCACCTTTTCTGGCTTACGTTGTTAGTTTTTATAATGAAGTGTGACATCTGTTCTTCCATCCATGTACATGCTTGTTTAGTGTTTTTGTAGTTTCTATTCATAAGGTCTGGCTTTGGGTGCTGGTCTATTCCTCTTTTGGCGTTGGAAGGTATGACCCCTCTCCTAGTTGTGAGAACCATGGCCAACACCCCAATAGCAAAGGCAAGCTGGCAGAAGAAGAACACAACTTGTGTATTTAGTCACAGTTTCATGTGACCAAGGAGCTTCCATAATGAAGAGCCAAAATTCTGGAAAAACTGGAAAAACTTTTTATGCTTAGATTTAGTGAAGAATGCCAAATGTAGAAACATGGTTAGACAGGTATGTGATCTAGTGGTTATGGCAGCATTGGGGGTTACAGCAAACCTCTGTATAGATACTTTATGGCCCCTCTGAGCAGTCTTGTGGGTTTGAGGCAGGGCCTTTTCTAGAGTATAAGTCTCATAACCTACTCCAGAAAGAATGTTTTCATGGCTACCTCTTCCACAGAGAACAGAGGTGGTTGGGATAATATTTTTAAAGCTTTAGTTGCCTTTGAGGAGAAGGTATTCAGGTCCCCTCTGGGAAGAGGGATTCTGGTTTCTGCTGCTTACATGGAGGGAAAACAAGATGTGAGAGATGGATTCAGGAGAAGGTCAGAGAAGCACTTTACTTCTGGGGCTGCTTCCCAACTCTCTTCATCACTGCTCTATTGCTGGGAGGAGACACCTTGACCAAGGCAACTCTTAGAAAAGAAAGCATTCAATTGGAGTCTTCTTACAGCTTCAGAAGCTTAGTTCATTATCACCATTGCAGGGAATGCAGTGCTGGAGCAGTCTTTGAGAGCTATATCTTGATCTTCAGGTAGAGAAAGGAGAGGAGAGAGAGACTGGGCCTGGCTTGGGTTTTGAACCCTCAAAGCTTACTCCCAGTGACATACTTCCTCCGACAAGGCCACAACTCCTCTAACAAGGCCACACACCTCTTAATCCTTCTTATTCCTTTCAAACAGTTCCACTCCTTGGCAACTAAGCATTCCAATACATGAGCCCATGGAGCTATTCTTATTCAAACCACCACACAAACCTTCATCTGGGGGTTTTATTTTCTGAGGCACAGTCCCATCCCTTGCCCAGTATTGTAAGTGTTTCTCAAAAACATTGTTGATCCAGATCTTGAGGCAGGAAGACCCACCTTTAATCTGGGCTACACCTTCTGCTGGAAACCTATATAAGGACGTGGAAGAAGGGAGCTTTTCTCTTTGCCTGCTTGTCTTTATCTTGCCAGCACATGCATTCCTTCACTGGCATTGAAGCCTGCTTCTTTGGGACTCCAGCATATACAGAAGACCAGCTGAGACACACAGCCTTGTGGGACTGTGTCTTGGACTTTCCATTCATAGCTAGCCATTGTTGGAATAGCTGAACTGCAGTCTGTAAGTCATTCCAATTAAATCCCCCCCATGTATATCTTCACACACACACACACACACACACACACGAGAGAGAGAGAGAGAGAGAGAGAGAGAGAGAGAGAGAGAGAGAGAGATTCATTCCATAAGTTCTGTGACTCTAGAGAACACTGACTAATACAGATTTGCTCCCTTCTGGTCAGGTGGTTCACTTTATGGACTTTGTAATATTAGAATCATTGAATAAATGAAGAAATACAGTCTCTGTTATTAAGATTCTTGGAATAGATGTTGTACTACAAACAATGGTTGAATCTCATCAATTCAGGGGCCCTGGTTATAAAAGTTCAAGTTCTCAGCAGTGCTTAAACCTTGAGCTGTTTGCAACTTAGTTCTCACCTGCATGTGGTCCTCTGTGACTCATTCCTTAGTCCAGCGCAGCATGGCTAGTCTCCTTAGTGTTTCTCACCTTCTGGTATTTATATCATGCTATGTTCAATCAGTTTCCTTCCACAGTGAATCACACTGACTTTCACAAACCATTAAGTTATGGAAGACATGGCCAGGTAGCCTCCAAGGCTTAGTCATAAAGGGCATTGTGGCTGGCTTCCACTATGTGTGCCTTTGAGTAATTCAGCTGTCACATCAGCAGTACATGTGCTCCATTCTATCTAGAGATGTCCATGTCGGGGAAACAGAGGCCTCCTGCTCCTAGTCAGCACCATTGGAGAGTCATGTGGTTTGCTTTTGGGGAAGGCCATCAGCCAGCCATAGTCAAGCCTTCATATGACAAGATCTCAGGCTGACATCCTGATGTAAGCACCTAAAAGAGGCTGAGCCAGAATCCCTCAGCATCTGCTTTCAGATTTCTGACCCTTAGGAGCCCTGTTATGTAATAAATGCCTCTTAAGCCACTATTATCAGGAGTTCATTTGCTGTACATCAATGGGAAACTAATATGTAATGAGCTCATCTCACCAAATAGATGATACATATCTGCAGGAAAAACCTACCTTTCTTTTCAGAAAATGACCTTCTATGATACTGAGATAATATTAGTCTCAATAAATGATGCTAGTGTTTTATAGCTAACTACTAATCAAGCAAGAAATATTATGGATTTCCAGCCAGATACTCTTCTTGGACTGTGGAAAGCAGTAAACAAAAAGATCCTGTAAAGCTGGGGGGCGGGGACAGATAACCCAGCAGTAAAATGTGGCTTCAGAAGCAGGACGACCTAAGTTTGATCCCCAGAACCAATGCTATAAAAGCCTGGAGTCATGGTATATTCTTGCAGTCCCATCACTAGGGAGGCAGAGGCAAGAATCCCTACAATTTGCTAGCCAGATGGCTTAGCCTACTTGTCAGGCTCCAGGCTAATGAGAATGAGGGACTCTGTCTCAAAAATCAAGGTGGCTAGCTGCTGAGTAATGACCCTCAAGGTTGGCCTCTGGCTCCCACACTCACAGGAGCGCACACAGATGTACAAACATACACAAAGGGAACAAGTTAAATTCTTATGGCGAAGACAGGTGATAATAAAAATAGATATGGTCCAGCTCAATGGAAATGTGAAGCAGGAATGGAAAGAGACAGGAGATGCTGTTGATGTTTGAGTGCCTTCTCTAATGACAACTGAGCAAAGAGCTATGCAAGTATCTGTGAAAGAGCATCCAAGAGCAGAGGGAACCATATGTGCAGAGTCCAGGGGCTTGGAAAGACCTGACACAGGCCGAGAGGTAGCGCCTGAGGTGCATTCACTCTGTTCTAGACCTTACTGTTGAGGTCACCAAGTCTCTCACAATTGCACCTTTTGTCATTTAGATCTCTTTGGACAGAATACTAGACACCAGTCCACTTTAAACAGATCTGTGCATGCATATTTGTCATTTTATAAAGATAAACATAGCTAGTAAGTCAATATAGGCTAAGATTTGAGCAAGACTAGAGAATTAGGAAAGCACCACTGGTAATCTGTTATTTCTGCTCTTTGCTGCTTTCTGCCTTCACTAAAGCCATTAGTATCCATTAATAAATTGTACAGATTTGTGATAACAGGGGTATATTAGAGAGGACTGGCATGGCATAAAAGAATCAAATTCATTCAATATACATTTATTAAGATATAGATGTCACACCAACAACCAATTACTCTCCCTACAGAAGAACTAGTAAAACTCTATTTCCTGAATGTTCTGTCATTCCATGCAATGGGCTTGACTACTTTTTCTTTCATTACAAGTGAGTGTGTTGAATGATGAATGGTGGATCCTACCATGATTATACCATGATGGTGAGCACAAATAAATGGCCACTCATAGACATCTGAATATTTTCATCTTACATTTCACCCCAGATAAACATTAGTGGTGTAGGTCTATCATTCCAACTACAGCAGAGGCTTTGAGACCACTAATCAAGGCTAGACTTCAATTTGGTGAGACCTTGTCTCCAAGTAGAGAATAGGCAAAGGGCTTGGGAAGTTTCTCAGGAGGGGGGCTCTTGTCTAACAGGTGCAAAGCACTGTTCAGCCCCCAGCACTGCTGAACATGTAGATAAACACATAACTAGCACAACTTAAGCTTCCATTCAATGTCCCAGGTCATTGTGTGAGAAAACTCTTGCCTTGCTCTGCTGGTAGTGGTTGGCATACTTTCTTTACACATATGAACTCTTGAGTTTTCTTTCTTGCTTCTTCCCTCTTATAAACATCATCTTGGAAAATTAATAAGCTGTTTTATTTGTGCATTAACTCAGAGAGAAGGGCATGAGAAGAGTGGACCAAGGTAGAATAGAATAAGAGAATTAAAGAGAGAAGGCCAGAAAGAGATACAGATTGAAAGATTAACAGATTCTTAAACACACCACACACATACATGTATACAGACAGACTCTGGAACTTGTGTGACTGTGTGTGCTTAAATACAAGTGTGTATGTTTTTTTTTGTGTGTGTATGCATGTGTGTCTTTGTGTGTGTGTGTGAAGAAACAGCCATGGATATGTAACCAGAAAGTAACAAGGACACCTGTTAGACTAGGATTTATTTGTAGGAAGAATTGTCCACTATTATTTTTAATATTTCTACTGGAAAAAACAATTACTGTAGATGTAACCAACCATCTTATTAAATAAGAAACAGAACCAATGTAAAAGAGAAAGCCGAGAGGTCAGAGCTCAGAGCTAAAATCTCACCCTTCCTCCTGCGGTGGTCCTAGCTCTCTAAAAGAGACCTATTTCCTGTGTGTCTGTCTTTTCATAGTCTTTTGTTCTGCCTTCTCATTGGTTGTAAACCCAAACACGTGACTGCCTCGTTACTGTCTGTATGTACAGTCCCCTAGGTCTTAAAGGCATATGTCTCCAATGCTGGCTGTATCCCTGAACACACAGAGATCTACCTAGCTCCTCTACCAAGTGCTGGGATTAAAGGCGTGTGCCACCACCACCACCACCACCACACTCTTGCTTGCTATGGCTCTAATAGCTCTGACCCTCGGGCAACTTTATTTATTAACATACAATCAAAATCACATTTCAGTACAATTAGAATACCACCACAAATTACCATATATTTTTCTTCAGTAAAAATTAATCCATTCAAATTATAAGCAAAATATTAGAAATAACTGAAAAGACATGTACTTAACAAATAGTTTACCTAGAAACTTACTCTTGTACATTTTATCAAAGCAAATTAAAATGTATGATGCAGTGTGGATTATAATTACTCTTTCTCAGCTATAAATACTTCTATAGGTTATGGAAACAATGAGATCTTCAAATCTGTATCCCAGTTTTTAAAATTAGCCTAATAATGCTTAGGCAAAAGCACCTAAATGTTTTTCTTTGATACGTATTTAAATTTTGTTTGATTCAGTCATTTTTTCTGGCAAAAATTTGTGATTGATGCAAAATATGATTTGAAGGTCTTGTTATTCAGTTTAAACCAAACTCACTGTGTATTTATGTTGACACATTTTACTTTTTATGAATAATACTTAACATCTATTAAACCTTATTAGATATGCCTGATTCTCCCTTGAATGCTTCAGCTTGAAATAAAGATTTAGTTTTTACCACTATCTAGTGAGCTAGGCACTATTATCTGTGTTTCTCAGACAAAGAAATTGATTGATAAAAAGGTTTTGTTGCCCAAGGCAACAAAATTCATATTGACTTTAGAAACTGTACAGGTCTGACAGGAAGTTTTGGACAAATGAAGCTACCAGTGCATAAGTTTATTTCACAGGACACTGATACAATACATATGGCAAAGCACAAGAGACGGAAGCCCAGGATCCATGGTGTAGGAGTTCCCCGAGGATCAGGAAATAAGAAGGGAACAAACAGTTTCTTTTTAAAGATTATTTTACTTTTAATTTTCTATGTGTCTATGTGTTTATGTGAGTACAGTGTCCATAGATGCCAGTGGAGGGTGTTGGATCCCCTGAAGCTGGAGTTACGAACAGTTGTGATCCACCCTGTGGATGCTAGGAACCAAACTCAGGTCCTCTGTAAGAGCAATGAATGCTCTTAACTGCTGAGCCATTTCTCCAGCAATTGGTGATGAGTAATTTTATGTGTAAACTTCAATGTCTGTGTAGTACCCAGATGTTTGGTTAACATTATTTCAGGGTGTGTCAATAAAAAAAATTCTTTTTATCTACAGCTGTAACTTGACTATTTCCCAGGCTCATCAAGATAAGGTACAAACTGTGACCCCAGAGGAAGTAAACTCTACTCTCAAAACAAAAGAAAAACTAGTACAGTTTTCTAATTTATACAGACAAATCTGGAAACATGTTTGGCAGTAGACAGTGAAGGTGTGGGATAAAGGTAAGAGAAACGTAATATTGGACCAAGCTGGATTACCTGATAGGAGCTCACTAAGCAAAAACTCTGTATTCAGTATTGAAACTGAAGCTAGAAAGGGCTATAATGAAATGTATGACTGATTAAAACTTGACCACAAGTATAACACCAAGAGAGAATTAGAAATGTCAGACATGCTCTGCTTGAGTGCAGAGGAATGAATTCAAAAGCTAAGAGAGATTGGAATGTGGAAGTATACTTGTCATTTAAGATAAACCTACATGAAGGGGTTCATCAGATGTACCTTCCAACAGTACTTTGTGAACTAAATTTGCACCTCGAAGATTTCCATGCTCACTTCACTATAGGCCTTGTCTTACAGTGAAGATTTCAGTGGTTGGGTTTGTTGGATTCCAGAGATGCAGAGTCCTGTAGCAGTACCCAGCCACCAAAAGCCAGAAAGTCATGTTTACCTGGGAGGATAACCTGTGAGAACAAAAGCAACAGTCATCATGGACTGGCCTCTAAAGATCCATGGTGATGGTCCATTAACCATGGTCTTTGTTCTAGCTGGCTTCAATGGTCATCTTGACACTGCCTAAATCATTTGGGAACGGAGTCTCAACTGAGGGGTTTCCCAGATCAATTTGGCCTGTGAGCATGTCTGTGGGGAGTTGTCTTGATTATTAAGTGATGTAAAGAGAACTCAGTCCACTGTGGGAGGCACCATTCCCTGGGAGAATGGTCTTGGGATGTATAAGAAAGCTAATTAACTAAGCCGAAGCCTACAAGTGAGCCATCAAGCAACATTTCACCATGGGTTCTACTGTGTTTCCTTGGCTGTGTTGAGTTACCTGGTGAGAGGTAATGGCATGGAATGTCAAATAGGCCTGCCTGCAAGTTCCTGCCTTGACTTCTTTCAATGGTGAGTTGAAACCTGTAAGAGAAAATATACCTTTTCCTTCCCAGCATTGCTGTTGGGTAGAATGTTTACCATGGCAACAGAGATATAATTAGAACACTATTCTCAGAAGGTAGATATGAACCCTACTCAAGTTTTACTTAATCTGTCTAAGCACAAAAGTTTTAGGTTAAGTCAATTAAATTCTGAATTATTAAAGCAAAGTTAAACTCTTGATTTAATTCTCAGCCTCTAACAAGTATACAGAAGCAGACACTTGGTCAGTCCCTTGAGAAAAGACTCCAAAACATTGCTCAGAATGTTCACAATTAATCTATTTCATATCCCAGAGGAGCCTGTGGGCTCTAACTAGGCTAATTTACATTTGGGGAAAGGGGGAAATGAGATGCCCTGTGACATTGGATCTGAAGTGACATGAATCCCGGGACTCCAAACACCACTGCTTGTGGCATGCCACTGGAGGTCAGGGAACCCAGAGGGGTTAGCTCAGGTACAGGTCACAGTGAGCTCAGTGCCCGCCTGAGTCAGTCCTGCAGTTGCTTTCCCAGTTCCAGAATTCATGCTGGTAATGAGTGTGAGCAGAAGCTGGCAGAGTCCCCACGCTGGGTGTCACACTCTTAGAGCTGAGGAGAGAGGAAACCTGCAAGTGCTTATTCCTAGGAGCTATTCAATCAACATCGCATTTCTAGAGGGAGCGCAGAGCTCAGTGCCACTACAGAGGACCCAGATGATGTGTTAGTGCTGACTCACAGATATCCACTGTCAACTTTCGTGGGTGGCCTGTGAAGAATACAGACAGACACCAGAGAACAGTGTTAGACCATCCTAAACTAATCCAACTGGTGCCCCCAATTTCAGTTTCTTAGTATCTGTATGTATTTATAACAGAATACCACAAATTGGCTAACTTACAAAGAACAGAAATTTATTTCTCATAGTCAAGAAGGCTGGGAGTTCCAACATCAAGATAACTATAGTTCCAAGATCATGGCACCTATAGTTTTAGTTGTCTGGTGAGGTCTATTTTCTGCTTCCAGGATGGCCCTCATATCCACTGGAGCACTCACATGTGGGAGACAGATGGCTAAGTGGATCTTGCATAAAGCTATTCTGAGAGAGCCTTTGTCCTATTCTTGAGGAGGGGCCTCCCTTGGCCTAACTGCCATGCACTGTCCCTTGGCACACCTGAATATTGGAGAGGATACTCTCAAACTATAGCACAGCTCCTACCAGAGGCAGTTCCATTGCTTGAGCAAATAGACACGACCTCAGCTAGACAGCATAGAGTTACTCATTTGGCAAGTACATTTTCTTCTGATAAATCTAATTTTTTTGAGACAGAGTCTCATGTAGAGTAGGGTGACCTCAAGCTCATTATGTAGCCCAGGATGAACTTAAACTTCTGATCTCACTGCCTCTGCATTTTGATCATCCCTACCAATACAGTCTATCAAAACAGTTTGTTTTAATCTGGAAAGGCCAGCAGTATCTATCCCATTTCAAGGTGCATTGACTGTCCAGTCCTGTGACATACTTTAGCTTGAAGGTATCTCGATCACTTCTCCTTTCCACAGATGCTACATGGATTTATTACATTGATGACTTCATGACTTCATGCTGTTTGGATCTCGTGAGTCCAAAGCAGCAACTGTCAGCATTTGTGTTCCAGAGGGTGAGATAGAAACTCCACAAAGATTCCAGGCCCCTGGAATTGAAAGCCCAGAGATAATGGACACATTGCTCTCAGAAAAGGTAAATCTGCATTTAGTATCTACAAAATGTTGCTCCTTTCATGATAGAATCGGTCCAGTGTAATCTGGCTCAGAAGCTAGATTGTCACGCTCAGCAGTGATACCACACTGAGAATGTAGGTTTGTTCTCTGCTGCTAGCAAGATTGCACAGTCCAGTCCAGACAGGCTTACTAATGGGCAAGGGCCTTACGAGAATAAAGGTGTTGGTCTCAGTCTACCAGGTGAAAAGCTATAAGCAACCAAGGTGCCCACCTTAATAAAGGACTAACATGAAGGAGTTATGCTTTAATCCACATTCTTCATTCTATACTTGAGATTAGACACTCTTCAACCCTGCATGGGCTCATGGCCATCCCGAAGTCAAACTAAACTTAAAAACATAGAGCTGAAAAGTATCTTTGGGACCAACTATTGGCTCAATATGTGAATGCCTTGAAGCATGTTGCATACTGCAGATGTGTGCATTAGACTGCAAATGTTGAAAAGGAAGCATACAAATACAGACAAAATAATCTGGGCTCAGTTTATCACATAAGGTATTTTTTTCCATTTTAAAAGTTAGGTCTTCGAACATTTTATACAGCCTGTTTTAACCGTATTCGCACTCTTTGCTCAGTTCTTCCCAGATTTGTCCCCCTTCCTACCATCCCAACTTGTGTGCTTTTTTCAAAACCTTCAAGACAGTTTGTGCTGCCCAAATATTCTTGGATGTGTGGTCTTCTAATGGCTAGGGGTTGACTTACAAGAGGCTGCACTCTCAGAAAAAAAAAAATGGTCTCTCCTTCTCCTAGCAGCCAACAGTCGGTAAAAGTTCTACAACTAGGGGTCGTGTGTGCCTGGCTCCCCGTCCATGTTGGGATTTGATCTGGCTTAGGATTGCACAGGTTTTCTACACACTGTCACAAACACTATTCCCTCACATGTCGCTGCCCTGCTGTGTCTACGGAACACTATCCCCTTAGAGTCAGCTCCCACCTCTGGCTCCCATACTGTTTCTTTCCCTTTTCCACAGTGATCCACAAGCCTTGGGTAGGGGGTTGCAGTATATATGTTTCCTTTAGGGCTGAATATTTCAGTCTTTTATTGTCTTAGTCAATGTTCTATTGCTGTGAAGAGACACCATGACCATGGCAACTCTTATAAAAGAAAATAATTAATTGGGGGCTTGTTTACAGTTTCAAAGGCTTAGTCCATCATCATCACAACAAGGAGCATGGCAGCATGTATGATACTAGGGAAGCAGCTGAGTGCTGCATTCTGGTCTACATGCTGAGAGAGAGAGAGAGAGAAAGAGAGAGAGAGAGAGAGAGAGAGACAGACAGACAGACAGACAGACAGACAGACAGACAGACAGACAGACACTGAGCCTGTGCCTGATTTGGGCTTTTGAAACCTCAAAATCCACCTCCAGTAATATACTTCCTCCAAAAATACCACACCTACTCCAATAAGAACACACCTCCTAATCCTTCCAATCCTTTCAAACAGTGCCACTGCCTGGTAAGTAAGCATTCAGATATATGTGCCAATGGGGGCTGTTCTTATTCCAGCCATCACACTTGTCCTCTGTACCCTGGGTAGTTATGTGTCACTGTGTTAGTCACAATCTACTGGAAATAGAAGCTTCTCAGATAAGGGTTGAGAGATGCACTGATCTATGGGTATAACAGTAAGTCACGAGGAGGTGGTTTAATATTATGTCCTGATGTGTCCTGCATGGCTTCAGGGATCAACCTGACTGGGGCAGAGAGGAAATGAAGAAAGGACAGACACACAAACACACAGCAAACCTGAGACTGGCAGAGCTCTGATGGAGCAGCTGCAGTGCCCCAGAAGCTCAGTGTGCTTCTTTCATACAGTTTAACCGGGTGGCAGGGGTACTGTACACATGGTGCGTGTGTACAGGCCCAGCTCTCCACTGGAGATACGAGAGGTGGGTACAGAAGAATCTCCTGGACACTCAGGGACCAGCTGGCCTGCTGCATGTCCAAGACAGGTCTTGCCTTGAGTGAGGTGGAAAGTGAGGTCTGACACCCAAGATTGTTATCTGATCTTCACATGTGTGATATGGTACACCCACATCCTTATGTACACATATGTATGCGCATGCACACACACATGCACATACGTGCACACCACATACACATACCCCAAAATAAATAAATATTTTTAAAAAGAAATTGTGCTGACAAGATGGTTCAGTGTATAAAGCCCACTGGGTCTGACATTGTGTGTTAAAACTCAGTAATCTACTGACAGGACAGAACTGACTTCTACAAATTACCCTCTGATGTCCACATGTACCAGCACTCCATACACACAGCATACATAATATAAATATATATATTAAAAATACCATCACCTCAGGCATCCAAAGAGCAAAATGAGTTCATCTTTACAAACAGAAGACAGTGACCGCCCAATGATGGAGTGGTTAATTCCCTCGAAGCACTATGAAAGCTATTTTCAGGTATTATTTCAAAACCTCACAGTACCAGCGAAAGCAGGAGATAATCACCACAGACCCTTTCCTGAAGGGGAGTCATTCCAGTTATTAAATTCCCAGAAAGGGTAAACAAAAGTGGGGATGAAGAGGACTCAGGGAATATGGTTTGTCGGTATTTTGAAAGCACCTGGAGGACCCCATGGGGAACCCCCATGTAGCACACGGGGCACACGGCTTGAGTCTTTACTGGACAGTTACGATCCAGATATACAGAGCTCCTGTTTCCTGGGTAGAAAAGGGTTGGCGCCAGCTTGGGCAGAGAGGCAGCCTTTAATGAGGACGTCATTTCCAGAGGTCACCACTGATGACAGCTGTGCTGAGGGGGAGCACATCACAAAGGAGGTCATCAGTGGTGAAATGAAAGCAGACATGAGGACGGCACTTTCATTTGATTATCACCTCATCTTCTGGATTACTGACATCACATTTGGTGCCAAGTGATGTGTTTAATACCCAGGAGTACAAAGAGGTTCAGGTTTACCATGGAGTTTCTCCCCGTCTATGTCCTGGACAGATGGTCCAGTGGTGGCAGCTATCCTCTTGGAAGCTTTCTGCCTTGAGCACCAAGAGATTAAAGTCCCCTGAGACACTGTGTCATCCAGCCATTTGTCTCAGGATTTGGATGGACAGAGGTGCAGTAATTTGGAGTTATTGAAAGTTACAGGACTCTGAACATGAGCCACAAACTTAAATTCTGAGGATCTGACTCTTTGCTTTGTGTCTGTCAGCCTCTGCTGAGTAACAAGTCATCCCAAACCCCAGGGACAAAAACAAGCATCCATTACTGTGATGCATTTATTTG